TTATTCAGGTTTCTGAGATATGTTTTTACATAAAAGGGCGGGATAGTGAGTGTATAGTATGCGTTATACTTGTCTATTTGAAAAGACAGGGAAAGGATGTGTGAGTGTGTTTATTTGTTTGCATTGACCTAGGATATCTCTGGAAGGTACGCAAGAAACTGAACACAGTGAGTTGTCACCCACAGGGACAAGACCTGGGCAGCAAGGTGCCAAAGAGGCAGACAGAATTTAAACTATGTTCTTTTGTACCAATTCATCTAGTTTTTAAAAAGGAAATAAGGAATTTTTAAATGTATTCATACAAAATAACTTCTAAGTTATATTTTTAAGGACACACACAAGGTTAGTAAGTGTGTGTACATCCCTTTTAGAGAAGAAGAAAAAAAGTAGGGGTGAGGAATGTGCATCTTTACTTCCACATACATAGATATTCCTGGAAGGACATATAGGAAGCTGGTGACATTGGTTTGCCTCCAGCAATAAAAACGGGCAGCAGGGGACAGAAGTGGGAGGGAGACCTTTTATAATACATGCCTTTGTACCTTTTAAATTCAGGCTATGTGAATTTATTTCCTCTTCAACAAAATAAAGAAAATTGAAAAAAAAAATAAACCCTAAAAATAAATTGCTTTCACCTTATAATTTTCTCCCCTCTAAAATATCCAGCAGCTTTCCAGCTACTCCCAGGCTAAAATCCAAATTTCTTGACATTTATGTTATTTCTATAACTTCAACTCATTATTTCCTGTCTGGAGCTTTCTGTCCTACTTAAAGTACTTCACCATCTCTACGCAGAGTTGTATACTTTCTGGCATTTTCTTGTTCTTCTTTCCCTCTTCTCTGGCCATCAGAAGCTACCTCAGGTTCACGTCTGCGAGGTTTTTTGAACAATTTGTCCCACTGTGACTTCTCTCCCAAATTCCTGCAATAATGTTGTCTGGCCTACACACCTGGCCCTTATCCCATACCCTCTTTCTTATCAAGGTTATCTGTGCGCTCTGTCCCCGAGCAAGGTTACCAAATCCTGCAGGCAGTGACTGAGTATGACAGTCTCCTGCAAGTCCCTTTTCCTGGCAGAGCCTTACACTCGGCTGATGTCACAGTGGTGCTTTTTTGACTATTCTCTTCTCCGCGGAAATTTTATTTCATGCATATGCTTGGCTGATGTGATTAAGAATCCTGGGCTGTATCATCACAATAAGAAATGGTGTACACACCCAAAACCACGCTAGCAGAAAAAAAGAGGACAAAGTAAGAGTTAAAATTCCAGGAAGCACATGGTGTTTGAACAGCAATATATTTTTAAACATAACATTTCTGGAAAATAAGATGCATGCTAAAATTTTTCCTTCTTTTTCACTTTGGCTGCACGTTGGAAATGAGGCCCTATTTTTCTGGTAACCATGGTGAATTAATTAGCTTTTCTGATATATTATCAATTGGTTCTTGAGGTTCTCATTTTGAGTAAAAGGAAGAGTTGGATTTAAATCTTGGCAGGTCTGATCTCAGATCCACTTGACTGCTAAGCCTGCATAGCATTTTCTTAAGATTTAATAGAGACAAAGTGTAAAATATATTCTTCAAGAAGCCTACCCTCAATTGCACAGTGCATCGGTGTGCTCTTTACCCACTTCATGGCTGTGCATGTAGCAGGTGCAACCATTTCCTGGGATGACTTAGAAGTAGAAAAAATACTTCTGAAAAAGGTTGACCTTTCAAATTCAAGTCAGTAAGAATGAAGAAGTAAACAACAAGCCATCAACAATAATAGTAATAGCTTACCTTTGCTTAAGTCTTAGCTAGGCACTATATTTCAGCCATATTCTCTCTTTATTTTTATGAGAACTGATTGAGAGGGACATTACTGTTTATCTTCTTTGGCAGATGAGAAAAGAGATTCAGAGAGGCTAACCTACTTGACCATAACCATACAGGTAAGTGGTAGAGCCAGAGTTCAAACGCAGAGCTTCTGCCCCCGGGTTGCTGTGCCTGATCTTGACTTTATGTTATTGTTTTTCCAAAGATCAGTCACATGCACAAGTACCTTATTAATATACTTGTCTTGCTCTAACTAGATCATAAAACCTTTATGTGGAAGATTGCAACTTATTTTCCTATGTTTTTCCACACATGATCCATAGCACAGGGACATTGTCAGTATTTAATATTCCAGAATGAATAAATGTATAAATGGCCTTTATGGCTTATAAATGTGCATTAGTAACATCATGATATTCAGAGTCAAAATTCACCAAACCAACTACATGCCAGGCAGTGTGAGGTGGTGCAAAGATCATGAGTTTAGGTAGGCAGAGAGGAGGACTGTAAGTGATGTCCGGAAAGTGCCTGGCATACACAGGTGCCCAATTCCTGCTACTTTTCTTAATACATTTACATGATCTGATTTCATTTTTCTCACACACAACCCTTTTAGGTAATGGATTAGTCAGTTCAGGCTGCCATAACAGAACACCACTGACTGGGTGGCTTAAACACCAGAAATTTGTTTTCTTACAGTTCTGGAGGCTCCAAGTCCCAGATGAGGGTGCAGGCAGGTGAGATCTCGCTTCCTGGCTTGCTGAGGGCCTCCTTCCCACCACATCCTTGCATGACCTTTCCTCCGTGTGTGCACGTGGAGAGAGAGAGAGAGGGAGAGAGAGAGAGAGGGAGAGGGGGGACACAGCGAGAGAGAGCACTTGGGTGTCTCTCTTTTTATAAGGACACCAGCCCTATTAGGTTAGGGTCCCACCCTTATGGGACCTTAATTGCCTCATTTAACCTTAATTACCTCCTTGGAGGCTGGATCTCCAAACCCCTCCAGGAGGGGTTTAGGCTTCAACATATAAATTTGGTGTGGCGCGGGGAAGAGGTGTGTGTGTGGGGACATGATTCAGTCCCTGACAAGTAGCTTCCTCTCTTCCCATTTTACAGATGTGGACACAGATATTCAAAGGGTTTTTTCCTGTTCTTCCATGACACCTGGCTGTGCTGTCAGAAATGTCCACCACCCATGTTTCCAAAGGTTTCTTTCCTCCGTGCAACCTAAAAGAGCTCAATCATTTAATCTTCTCTAGAGGTAATTTTTTTCCAAGAAAACAGAGTCCATCTTTTCTTTGGACGGTGCTGTTGAAACCTTGACAGTTGATTTTCCCCTGAGTTCCTTACCTATATGTTCACCTCTCTTCTGTTATTTTGTAATTAGCAGAGACCGGGGGGTTATAAGAAAGGATTAGTTCCAATTTCCTCTGCATCACAGAACAGGAACCATGGCATAGCCAGACTTACCAACTTCGGGACAAAGCTGGGGAAGGGGATGTTGTTCAGTGCACAGCAAACTTGAGGTGGAATTTTCTCGTCCTCTCACCAGAAAGGATGCTATTCTCAATCTGATGACTTTGATATCATTTTAACTCAATATTCTCTACTTCATGTTTCTGCCTACTTATGCCTTCTCTGCTTCATGCCTTGTATTCTCTGTCTTTCCAGCTTCAGTCAAATTGTTATTTCTTTGTGCCTTGGGTTCAAATTTCACTTAGAGAGGATCTGATTGGTTCAGTCAGTCAGCAAACCTTTAGGTCCCTTGGGCAGCTTTTAGTCTAATCATACGTGTTGCTCCAGGACAATGGGAAGAGTTGTTTTATCCATCATAGCTTGATGAAAATATTCTTTGAGAACACACAATGGCTCTCTTCTGGTCCTTGTTTGTTTCTCTCCCATAAGGGCTGGCCATTGTTGCAGTTAACATTCAAGTTCTGGGGTAAGAGTGTCTGGATTTAGATCCTCCTTCTAGCACTGACCAGCTGTATGAATTCTGGCAAATACTCCATTCCCCTCATAGTTTCCTCATAGATAAAATAAGGATGTTAATAAATAGTCCCTACCTCAGAGAGCTGTGAGGATTCCATGAATTAAGGCATGTGAACACTTTGCACAGTGCATGCATAAGAGCCCAGTAAGCTTTCATTATTATTTCTAATTGATCATCTGAGTGTTCTTGCCCATCAGGAAGGAGAATGTCAGTTGTTTTCCCAAGGATAGCCCTAATTGTAAATTTACAAATAAGCATTTAACATAGGTGTTTTGTGGCTTCTTAAGTAACTCGATTACTTAGGTTGTTAGTTCCTGATGAAATTCATTCACCAATTCCACGACTGTTATATACACAGTCATTGGGGATATAAGATTAATGCCCGTAGTCTATTTAGGGAGGAAGGCGTGTAAATAATTGGTAAGTCAACCAGAGCCGGGGCACCACGAGGAAGTGCTCATCTTGCCCTGCACAGGGGCAGGGGCAAGACAGGGGCGATTTCATCTTGGAGGCGATAACTCTACTGGACCTTAAAAAGGGGCGTGGGAAGGCATTTCTGGCAGAGGTAACACCAAGAGATAAAAGAGAATATGGTGCCTTCAAGGAAATTGTAGAATGTACATCTTTAATCTTTTATCCTAAAAACCAGTCCTTTTGAATTTAATGTTCTTTCTATGTGAGGCAAGGAACACCTGGAGATGTACTTTAAAAATTGGGTAAGAGCCCTGCCTGGTGTGGCTCATTGGATTGAGTGCTGGCCTGTGAACCAAAGAGTTGACAGGTCGATTCCTAGTCGGGGCACACACCTGAGTTGCCGTCCAGGTCCCTGGTTGGGGGCCCACAAAAGGCAACCAGTTGATGTTTCTCTCTCTTTCTGCTTCTTCCCTTCGCCAATCTCCGAAAACAAATTCACTCTTTTAAAAAAAGGTCTTAAAATAGAGTAAAATAGAAACCCAGTGAGACTGTGAAAAGAGAGAGGGCGTTTCGGATTGAAGGAACAGCGTCTTACGTGCCCTGCAACCAGCAAAAACAGGCGATTCCTAAACGTTAAAGGTTAACCTCGGTCTCCAGCGAGAGGAATCTACCACGCACGCGCCTATAGTTACACCCTGCCGGCGATGAATTACGACCTCTGCCGTCGCCGTCACGACTCTTGCCGTAAAAGCCGCGTTTGGCGCCTGCGCATTTTCTTTCCTTTTTTGGACTGTCGGCGCTGTCGCCGGTCTCGTGGGTCCGCGCTGCTGCGCCGCCTGGGCCGTCACCATGGTGAAGCTGAGCAAAGAGGCCAAGCAGAGGCTGCAGCAGCTCTTTAAGGGCGGCCAGTTTGCCATCCGCTGGGGCTTTATCCCTCTCGTGATTTACCTGGGTCAGTGGGCGAAGAACCTGTGAGGAGACGGGAGGGACAGGGGTGCGGGGGCTGCGACTCCATCTTTGGCTTCCAGCGCCGGAGAGAGAAACATGACCACGCTTTGCGGGTCCTTCGAGGCTCTCTGGTCAAGTGGGGTTGATCTACCTTGAGTTCGACTTCCTGTTCTACCTTTTAGTATTTTAACGGTCTGTTGAAAGTCATGCAATCGTTCCCGTTCTGTTTTTGCATCTGAAAAACGGAGTTGACTGGCTTTTCAGGATGGCTGGAAGAGTTAGGCTGCCCGACGTATGGGAAAGCTACACATTTCACTCTTTGGCAGTAGGTGGATTTTTAGGGCGTTTGTGCTCACCTGTCCAGGTGGGCCTAACTAGAAAGAGGCCTGTAGACGTCAGGGATAGGCCACTGCCTGCAAGCGTGCCTTCTAAACTGTGCAAAGTAGGATGTGGATGATTTTTATTATAGAACCCATTCTGCAGGCGAGGAAACCAAGTCATACAGAAATTCTGTTCCTTGCCGGAAGGCCGCACAGCTATTAGATTGGGGGGAGCTGTGAACTCAAGCAATGGGACGTCAAGGGCCATACTCTTCAACTTGATGCTCTACTGCAGAGACTTGTAAGTGCTCAGGCCGTTACGTTCGCCTGGGGCTGCACGTTGGGACTTTATCGTGTTTATAGCTTTGGGTAGTTTTTTCTTTTTAATCTTAGTGCCAGACTCTGGCAACATGGTGGATAGGAAAGCCCCAGCACTGTCAGTTTGAACAGCAAGTTTGGCATTTCCTAAAACTCACACTTGAAAATCCTATGATTTTAGCAAGTTGCTGCTTTCTCTGTTTTAGGAGTCATGCATTGCCTAAGACAAAGTACATGCTTAATCTTGACAGAGCCTTTGATTGTGCTGGATGTTGTTCAGCCAGTTGTGGCTACTATTTCCCCCTGAATTACAAGCCAGCTGATAAGTTGGGAATACTCAAGTATTCAGGACTTAAATAGATCTTTTTCCTCCCTTACTGTGAACACTTTTTAAAGCATTACTCTCCCATATTTTAGTGACTCTGTATAAGTATCAAGTATTAAGAGTAAATAATTGGCAGCCTACAGACTTTGCTGTTCCTCGTCTTTCTCCCACTCTCCACTCCCCAACTTTCAAATGGTAGAAGGGAACACTGGGACTAGCTGTCCTTTTAGCTAAGAAAGGGAGGGGCGCTTTGATTCTCCCCTTTCCCTGTGCCATTTTCTTTTTCCATTGTGTATATGGGGTCTTGTTTTAACCTGCTCTTGCTCTCTTTGTTCCTGTGATTTCTTAGCTGCTTTGTAAGTCTTTTTGCCTACCTTTCCCTCCTCTTTTTGAGACTCCTACTTTCCAGAACGCTATAGCTGATTGCTACAATCCGTGTATCAAGGGCTTCGGTCTGAAGGGTAGATGATGCTTTTCTTTTCCATCCTCGACTTTGTTTTCCTTTTTGCGCACATTGGCTTTATTCTCTTTCTTACGATTGCTGTTACAGTGACTTTTACCCTAGCATCTAGCTCAGGTTGAGACTGATGTTAAGGCTATCTTTTCAGTACTTCCTTGTTAATCATTGTCTTTTTTTCTTACACTATAGCTCCTTTTTATGTCTAAGCTAGTTCCTAGGTTTTATTTATTTATTTTTCCTCCACCTCACCTCTCACAAAAACCTGCAATTGCAGATTGAATTTCTTGTGTAATTGAAGTTAAAATATACCTTTTTAGGGCTTCAGGGAGTATAGTGGGATTATAGTGCTATAAAACAAGACAGTGACATAATAAACAATCATTTTGGACATTTACCAACAAAAAGATTTTAATGAGTCACCTGTTGGAAGACAATTTTCCACAGTGTCTTGAATCTCTACAGATCTTGAAGAGAGGCTCTGGCTACCCTTTGCTCCATATTATCTGTTTAAGGACATTTGTAGATTGAACAGCCTTGGAAAATAGTACCTCCCTCCAGAACAAAATGGAGACATGCTACTGCCTATTTTAAAAGATTCTGGTCCCCTAACTGCAGGGTTATCTCTTAAATGATTGTACTCTCACTACAGGTATAACGGAGTAATACAGTGTCTTTTTTTTGACTTGGAATCTCGTGTCTTCTATTAGCATCAGTGAAACTGGCAGGCTCGTTTGTTGTCTTGAATATGGGGTAAAATTTTATGCCCCTCACAGTTCTTGATGACAACTGTAATTTTAATCAATTATTTTAGCAAATTAACCTATGCTCTCCAATTAATAAATACATTTTAAATGATAAAATGTTTATTTAATTGCACTTATAATAAGAGTGTTGACTTAATTAGGTTAACAAGAACTTGAATGTTTTTTCTTTTTTCTGTCTCCAGTCCTTGAGCGCTTTATAAGAAGAGGTTCAAGATAAAATAAGATATTCTCAGTTTTTTTTTGTTTCTTAAGAAAATACTTTTGCTTTTTGTAGTCCTTCATACAGTGTGATTTGGTGGTTGTGCTATCTTTTTTCTGGGTAGTGCCTAATAATGAAAGACAGCGTATGCTCAGGGCTGCTGCCCGGATTGTGTGTAGTAGGAAGAAGGTAGCTTGTCCTCCCTGCCGATCAGTCCTGTGCACAGTCTCTAGTGAAGATTGGAACCTGTTCTGTAGCACAGGTAGATCTAGATAAAGCTGGTAGATTGGGATATCATTTTAGCTGCCCGAGTTATTGAAAAATAAAGATTGTAATTTTTTGTCTGCTGGGGTTTTAATTAGTACTTATTTTCTTTCTCTCTTCTCCCTTCCCCTCTCTTCCAGGATTTAAGAGGGGTGCAGATCCTGGAATGCCTGAACCGACTGTCTTGAGGTACTGTTCTTACGAGTAAACATTTCAGGGCAAATGGTCACCTATTAGTACTGAATCAGTGGGAGGCAAAAGAACAGTAGTGGTAGGCCTTGTCATGGAGCTCTACTAGTCGATACAGTTTGGGGCGGTTGGAAAACTGCCGCAATATGCAGACCAGTTTAGCTTATGTTAGCAGGTAAGTACTTTTGCGCCCTGTCCTAATTTTTACTTACTGTACCATGTTATATCTGTAGCAAAGCATATTTTTTTAAAAAAAGAACTAATTTATTATCCTACCCCTTTAAAAGGTAAACTTTTTAATTTCCCATGTTTCTGTCTTTATTCAGATAAATACCATGTTTTATATCATTCTAATAAGAGTACTTAGGATTTTATATTCTTCACCTGAAAGTAGAGTTGATATCCCATATATTTTTAGTTGTTGATTACTTAGGTTCTTCTGCTTTTTCAATATTATACATAACAATATAGTGAACATTTTTAAGGGCATAGATTTTATAGGTTTTGATTTATTTACTTCTCATGGGATTAATATGTCAAATGTGTGAACACTTATGGCTCTGAAAATGCACTCTCAAATTTCTCTCAGAAACAAACTTGCCTGTGTTTGATAAGCATTTGCGAAAACTACACACATACACAGGTACACAGAGTATAGCTATTCATATACTGACACACATGTGTATGTGTATACTCATGAAAACATTCACATGCATGTGTGCACATACACACATGTAAAGGCAGAATCTAGAACAGGCAGGTGTGCTCTGTAGGAGGGACTGATCATCGTGGCTCTCTGATGGCTGGGCCCCCCCCCGCACAGTTGCTGTGGGACTTCAGCTTGACCCTCTGTGTTACAGACATTCTTGTGTATTGCCCTCACGGATTTTTCACTGGCTGTTCTAGGTGTTCTGTTTCTTCCAACTCCTTACTCTAAGGCTTTTTTCCTAGAATGAGCAGAAAATAATAATAGCAGTATTATTAGCTGTCACTTAACAATGTGTCGCCCACTGTTTCAGGTGCTTTATATACAGTATTTCTAATTGTCACTTAAGTCCCGTGGAGCAGGTCACCGTTGGTAGGGGGTGGAATATGCCTGTCTCCAAAGACTACATTCTTTCCACTGGGTCATGTGTCCTCCCCCAGGCAGCCTTACCTCTGACTGTACTCAGCCCGGTGCAATCTGATAGGAATTTTCTCCACCCCCCTCGGCCTTGCCAGCCTCTTTTCTAAGAGGAAAAAGCATTTTTTTCCCCTGAAGTTACCATCAGATGTGCCTGCAACATGTCCATTTCTGTATTCTCTTTTCCCTAATAAAATGCTTTAATAAAGTCTTCATTCACAGCTTCCTTTCTTCACTTCCCTCCTCCCTCTAACTTTGTATGCTTAACCTTTATTCTATGGCTTCTTGAAACTGCTTTCAGAGATTACTACCAAGTTCCTTTTTTTTTCAGCTTTACTCTTTTCATTGCCAATTTCCTTTTTTTAAAAATGGGGATTTGAGATAATGTATCTGCTATTTATTAGCTGTTGACCTTATATGAGTTGTTTCCTTGGGGAAACATTACCTTAGGAAACATCAGAGATCGGACTGGCTGGTCAAACTGAACATTTTCCAAGCACTGGAAGTTACTAACAAGTAACTTTCCCCAAGGGGCTATTACCCTTTGTAAGGTGAAGTTTCCTCTTTTATAAGTTGGGCATAATATCTACTTCATATGGATTGCCATGAGGATTAAGAATATTGTATGTGAAGTATTAACAGTACTTGGCAAGTAGTATGTGAGCAGTAAACTGTTAATAGTAACTTTTAATCTTTTTTGTGTGACCTCCTTTACCTCATTTCTTCCTCCTGTGAGAACTGCGCTCTGGCTGCAAGACACTGCTTGCCACCCCTGAGTGAACGGTGTGTTTCCGTGCCTTCGTCTCTGTGCCGGTCCTCGGTTGGCCTGGAATGCTTCCTCCCCTCAGGCTCCCCTTAATGAAAACCTGCGTCCACAAAAGCCCAATCTCAAATGTCACCTCTTCCTTAAATTACTTTCCTCTTGTCCTAGCTGAAATCACTCTTTTTTTTGATGTTCCTATAGTGTTCTTTTCTGTTATTCTCTGCCTTATATTATGGCACTTACATTATATTTTGTCCTGTAAGCACCTAAAGTAGCTGCCAACAAGTGCTGAATCAATCAGCTGATCTTAACTTTTTGGTGGTCTTTTGGACTGGGATCTAAAGTATAGCATCTCGTGGTACGATTTTTTAGATTGGACCTGCATGCTGGAAAATAGCATTTTGTTGTGTGCCCCGGGTGCCCCAGGATTTAGAGGTGGGGATGGAATGTACCCTTCTGTTGTCCTCTTGGCTTCATTTGTCGCACCAAGAGTTGACCCTAATTGCAGACTGGATGAAGCAGTTGTCCTCTTGTTTCACTTCTTCACCTCATTGTCCTCTTGGTGCTCCTCTCCTTTCTGGTGCTGACTCTTTTCTGTTACTAAGGGCATCTTCTGGTTTCCTTCCAGGAGCCCTTGTGTTTAGGGGACAGTTGACTGAGTGCCCAGACGGGTTAGCCAGTTACAGCGTTTCATGGACTGCGCTGCCCGTGCTGGGGAAACTGGCTGCGGAGCCCCTCTGGGTTGCCTAGTCTGGACCCTGGAACACGCAGAATTATATCCACTAAGGTTCTTATTAATGTGAAATTTATTGTTTGTTAATGTAAAGTTTGTTGTTTGCATATGAATTTATTTATATAATACTTCTGTAAATAATATAGTTCATGATTTACTAGTCTGTTTCATTGGGTTCCTTGGGATTAGAACCACATTCATTTTTATGCCCTTTCTTACTCAGGATGGTATGGTGCATTTACGTGCTCAGCAAATGTTTGTTGATATGAATGCCTTATTCAAAAATGCAGTGCTCTAATGAATAAGGTGAATATCTTAGTAAAACATTACTTAGGCAAAATATATCAATACTAAGGTTAACTGAGAGAATCATTGTTCCCATTATTTGTATAAGGCCGTGGAAAATTTTCTTTTGTCTTTATTTGGGATGCTCACTACCATTCAGAAGGAGATCTTAATAGATAAATAATTTATTTTCATATCTTACCTGTATCCGGAAATACCTGGGGTTTAATGGGAAATATTAATACACTTGAAAATTGGAAATAGATGCATATTGAGTGTTTTCTCAGACAAAAGGAAAATACTTTTAAAAATAAACTTTACAGAATGTTCAAATTGTTTCGTGATGCCATTTTGTTGCCATATTACTAGAAGTCACATTTTTAATCAACAGCATTTAGAAATGAAACACCTCATGTCTCTTTCCTGGATCCTGTTGCTTAGTCAGCAAATGATTCAGGAGTTTGAGCTAGTTAGTGGCTGGAACGTTTGGAGTAAGAGTTGGCTGAGACAGAAATGGAGGCTGACTGCTCTTGGGATGCATGTGGACTAATGGCAAAGGGCAGCTAGGTCCCATCCCACTCAGCCACTTGCAACGTGGGACCATTTCAAAGCCTCGGTTTTGGCATCTTTAAAATAGGGGTCGTAATTAGTTGTAAACGTCCTGCACAGTGTGTGACCCATAGAAAGCATTCAGTAAATGTGATTCTTAATTTTACTGATGTTGCATCTAGTAATAATAATAGCTTTATTTTGGGGGTTCATCAGTCCTTCATGTTAATGAAAATAATTAATCATTTATCTTTTATTGACCTCAACCTATATTTTCTTTTTTGTTTATATAACAGGTAACCACTCTCAAAACAGACAAAATTGTATTTATTTAAATATAGGTCTCTATGTTTGATTTTTTTTTTTTCTTCAATGAGATTTATCCTTAACTCTGAATTTGGTAGATGAGTAAACATAGATGTGAATGTATAAAACTCCCAGTTCTTAAGCTATGTTTAAGAAGTTTTTACTTTGGGGTTTAATTTATTTCTCCTCTTCACAAACATTTTAGCTTACTTTGGGGATAGAGGACTGTTTGGTCACCTGGACTTGGAAGCAGTCAATGGACAGTAACAACACAGAAGGCGTGCGCTCTGGCTGGGATAAGAGATGGGACATCGTTCAGACATTCAGCAAGTGAATGGCACAGGGCTCTTCTCGGGTGCATCTGTGGCAGAGTGGAACCTCTACTGACCTACTAATGGTAGACTGTATCAAAATAAATGTCTCTGACAATGTTCTGTGTTGAGTCCTTTTTGACTTGTACTCAGTAGGACTGTTAGGTAAACATTTAGCCACTTAGTACTTTTTCAAAACAGGGAATCTATATTTGTGCCGAGAAGGACCTTGATAAGTTACAGAATTTCCAACTTCATTTCTTAACACATAGATTCCAGTTTCCCTGTGTATTGAATTAATAACTTCCTTGGGATGTTTTCAGGTAGGAAAAGTAGAAATGGCCCTCAATTTTGTGAAACACTGAGCCCTTACTTCCTGCCCTGGATGGTGAGAATACAGTTCTGACAGAAAGAAATAGGGGTTCTGTGGCTCTGTTGGAAGTTGGTGGGAATGACTTTGGGGAGTGTAGGTCTGGTTTATTTGTGAGTCAAACGTGAGTCTAAGATTTCCCTTGGTGTTTGGAAACGATACAGGGAGAGCCAGACACAAAAGTAGCACTTTCTACTTTCTGAAAGGAGAAAAGGCAGTTAATGGGAACTAGTTCTCAGTTCTAGATCCAGGTTTCCTGGGAGTTTTACTTGTACTTGAAGCCTATTTAATTTTAACTTTTTCCGTAATTCTGACAGAATAGATTTATTAGTTTTGGGAAGTGTAATTAATGTAGGAAAGGAGGCCTGAACTACGGTGTGGCGTGGTTTGGGAGGAGCCCATTGGTTTCAGTGTTTTAAACATCCAGTGTCTGCGGATGATAGTCACGCACGCAGTCGAGGCGGCTACAGCTGTCATCGCCAGGAAGTCCTTCCTCGTTTCTATTGAAAACCTCTCTTAGCCGTTTAGACATGTGTCCTCGAACTCTGTTACCTTTGCGGGGTGGGGGGGCGGGGGCGGTGTGTAGGAGACTGTTGCTGAGGCTTATTGCTGAAGTGGGTTTTAAAATGGAATTTTTGAGAGCTAACTGCCAGAAAACCATTTTTGGTAAGCGCTTAATATAATTGCTTCAATATCATCTCTTGTGTGTATGATTTTGCTAAACAAACAAAGACCCCAAAAACTTTCAGTTTAAACAATACTTAGATTTAAATCTCATAGAACTGCTTGACTGGCTCTTTCTCCACTGTACCCTCCCCCCTCCCCCCAACCACACATCATTCCTTTCTGTTAATTTTTGGTGTCAGCGATTTTTTGTTCAGTTAGAATTTTGGTATACATTTTCTTTCTCATTTAGGATTTCTAGAAATTGAGGAAGTAAAGCTATAGCAGGTATAAATTTCTATAGAACACTAACATGGATAGTAAACATGACTGGTATTATATTTTAGGTGTTAACTTGTAGCTGTCTATACAGCCTAGTAGATTTTAAAGAAAATAAACCAGAATTAAGTTGTAAGGGGTCATTTCCCTGATCTCACATCTCAGGAAGTTAAGGAAGACAGTTTAAGCCCTTGTTCAAGACAGGATAAGAGATGAGACTAGTACACACCTTAATGTGTGTATGTGTATCTTAAATTTGTGAAATGGGTATAGCTAAGCTCCTATATTTTGTTAGATTTTAGTGTTTAGGGCAGTGCAATCCATTTCAACAAATGCTGGTCTCTACTTTGTGCTCGACACTAGAGAGTCCTTAAGATTATTCCTGACCTTGATTTGCTTGGGCAAAAGCACTGAGCTGAGAGGACCTGATCGAGTCCTGGTCCTGCCGCTTAGTTCCTACCTTAATGGGAAAGTCCTTTATTCTTTACGTTTCAGTTCCTTCCACAAGATAGGAATAATACTTGTCCCAAGGTACTATTTTGTTAAGCCATTGGTTCTCGGCTGATCCCAGACTAGCATCACCTAGGAACTTGTAAGTGCTCATTTTCAGGTATGAAAACGGTGAGGCCCAGCAATCTCTGTCTATTTTACTTTTTTTTTTAACCTCCCTGATATTAGAAACACCGATTGGTTGCCTCGCATATGCATCCCCGCTGGGGATCAAACCCACAACCTTGGTGTATTAGGACGATGCTCCAACCAGCTGAGCCACCTGGCTAGGGCTCTGTGTGTATTTTAATTACTTCAACCATTATTTTAAATTAAACTTATTTTGTGACAATTACGGAGTTGCATACAGTGTAGAAAATGATAAAGACCCCTGTGTGCCCTTTACCTAGTTTTCCCCAATGGTGACGTACTGCAAAATTATCGAGTAGGATGGATAGGACATACCAATGTCAGGATGTTGACATTGATACAGTCAACGTTTCCATCACCACAAGGGTCCCTCGTGGTGCCCTATTATAGCCAACCGTCCTCACCCTCTCCCTACCCGACCCCTAACCCCTGACAACTAGTAATCTAATCTGTTGTCTGTATAACTCATTTCAAGAAAGTTACACAAATGGAATAAGTAACCTTTGGGATTATCACTGTTTTATTCAACATAATTCTCAGTAGATTGACCTAGGTTGTGTGTATCAGCTGCTTCCATTTGTGGACGTGCTCCATATGTGTTTCCGCAAGTCCTCCAGGTGACGGATGCAGCTCGGGTTTGAGCACTGCTGCCTTGGACTGGCAGCAGCCCTCCTACTCCCCCTCCACACTGAAGTCTGTTTTCCACAGAATATCCAGAGTAATCCTTTTAGCTCAGGTCACAGTGCACCCTGATCACAACTTTCCAGTGGCTTCCCAGCACTGGGGATTAAATCCTGAATCCAGCCCTCCTGTTACCTTCAAGGCTTATGTAATCGGGCCTTCTGTGCGTGCCTTTGACCTCCATTGCCTGTGAAGTCTTTTCCCCATATTCACTCTCACTCTTGCTGTTTTGATTTCTTCTTGCCCCTCAGGCCACACCTTTTCTTACAATGGTGTTCACTCCTCTTTCTGCTGGAGCTTTTCTCCCAGCTATCCACAGGCTTGCCTTCCTCGCTTTATTGCAATCTGCCCAAATGCTGTCTTGGAGAGGGCTGCTTTCATCCTTATGCAAAATAGTAACCCCTTCACCTGCCTTTTCTTCCCATTATGCTCTCCCTTCACTTTTATTCAAAGAACTTTCACTCACCTGGTTTTATATATGTATGTACATACATGATCTTGATCCTTATCTCTAGAATGTAAGCCTCATAAGTGCAGGACTGTGTATTTTTAGAGGTTAACAGAGGTCCTGGTGCATAGTATATATTTAATAAGAATGAATGAATGAAGTGCAGGCTTGTATAAAGTAAAATTGCTTTGAGACTGGGAACTAATAATGTAAAATGTTAAAGGGTCAGTATTTTTCTCTGCCTCAGTCATAATTAGTAATACACTCTGAGCCAAAGATTGCATCAGAAGATGTTGGGAGGAGGTGATTTGGGAAAGGGAATGCTTACTATGACTTGGCACTTGATTCATTTAATCACAATGACCCTGTGAAGTATAGGGCATTGTTGCCATTTTGCAGGTGAAACAGGCTTGGGTCATTTCCCCCAAAGCACAGAGAAAGCTTGTATCTGAATCCGGATCTGCTAACTAAAAGCTTAGGATCTTATTAGTGATACATGCCACATTAAACTTTTTTTTTTTTTTTTTTTTTTTTACAGCTGATGAAATGTTATAGTGACAATTACAACAACTACAAAATGTTACCATTTCAAGTTCTATAGAGAGGGCCGCAATAGAGTAGTCAAATTTACATCATAAATTGAACTTATTTGAAGTTACCATGCCAGCTATAATAAACTCTATTTCTTTTTGTTATCTTTCCTTGAATAGCCTACATTTCTAGGGAGGTACATTTTACATACAATAAAATGAACAGATCTTAAATACATGGTTTGATGATTATTGTCCACTGTATATACCATGTAACCACCACACCAACATGGGGAAGAGGATCTACTTGAACGCTGGATCCTTCATGTGTTACACATAGTAGGTGCTCAAGAGATTTTTTAAAAAACTAAATGTAAATAACTTTTGAGGTGGACCTAGGTGAACTGTATAGGGAAGTTTAGATTAATGTTCTCTTTCTTTCCTATAAGAAGCAAAGAATAAAAGTCACAAACAGCTTTAGAGCTTTACTAAAAATGGATGATGAGAACCAAAGATACTACAGCACTTTCTTTCCTGTTGCGTCAAGGACAGCCTGAAGGACATGGAGACAGGAACGAAAAAATACATTTTTTTTCCTGAAGAAAACTCAGACTTACACCACTAAGAGGAAGTGAACGATGAAATGTCAACAGCTGCCCAGTGTACCCTAATGCCTATTGGAGAGGAGGCCAGGGACAAGAAAGAACCTCGTAGAGAGCAAAACTCAAGGCACCATCAGGAGTTTCCTAGAAAGTGGAACTGAAAGCTCCAGGTACTGCTGGGCAGTTTGTTTTGCCCCCTGGAATTTCACATCGTTAATAGACCAGTGACCACCACAGTTTTAACATGGTTATCTTGCCCCTACTCTGCCTTTAAATACTGGAGAAATTGGAGGCAATTAACTTGTCTTTAAGTTCTTAGATTACTGGATGACAGGGAGCTATCTGCACCAGGTGGGAGGTGCACATTTCCCATAATTCCTTAACTTCGCTCTGGATACAGTATCTAAATGAGGCAAAGTTGTTTCCCTGGGAGAGGATTCATTGTGTTCTTTAGATGAGAATTAGTACGTATGAATATTTGGTCAGTAAAGAAATAGATGTGAGAGTGTTAGCTGCTTATCAAAAATCCACTTTCTGTTTCTCAAACTGCCACATTTAGCCGCTCATATTGAAACCATGCTGAAAGGCTCCCATATTCCTTTGCAGTTAGGGGTGGTCCTCTGATTAAATACTTGACAATTGAAATGTGAGTGGAAGTGTTGTGTGCTACTTCTGGGAAGTTTCCCTAAAAGAGAATGAAACGGACAGGACATGGCTGGGTCCCAGCTCTTGGGGACCCTAGGAATGGCAGAATGCTGTGCTGTGAGGAGCCTAGGTCCCTGAAGATTCAAACAAGAAATCCATTTGTTCACCCCTTCACTGACTTGAGTGTTATCAATTTTTTTTTGTCTTTTTAAATAGATGAAATATGGTGTCTTGTACTTTTAAAACATTTTTCTTATGAGTGCAGTA